GGGGGCTGGAGGAGGTGACAGAGATAAGGAGGAGGTGACAGAGATAGGGAGGGGGTGCAGGGGGTGGAGGAGGGGACAGAGATGAGGAGGGGTATGGGGGCCTGGAGAAGGTGACTGAGATAGGGAGGGGGTGTAGGGGGCTGGAGGGGGTGACAGAAATAGGGAGTGGGTGGAGGAGGGGACAGAGATAGGGAGGGGTATGCGGTGCGCCAGTTAGGCAGGCAAATACAATGTTGGCATTGATTTCGAGAGGGGCTAGAGTACAAGATCGGGGACGTACTGCTGAGGCTGTAGTATAAGGCTCTGGCGAGAGCTGCGTTTGGAATATCCTGAGGAGTTTCGGGTCCTGTATCTAAGAACAAAGAACAAAGAAAATTACAGCACAGGAACGGGCCCTTCGGCCCTCCAAGCCTGTGCCGATCCAGATCCTCTATCTAAACCTGTCACCTATTTTCCAAGGATCTGTATCCCTCTGCTCCCTGCCCATTCATGTATTTGTCTAGATACATCTTAAATGACGCTATCGTGCCCGCCTCTACCACCTCCGCTGGCAACGCGTTCCAGGCACCCACCACCCTCTGCGTAAAGAACTTTCCACGCATACCTCCCTTAAACTTTTCCCCTCTCACCTTGAAATTGTGACCCCGAGTAATTGAGTCCCCCACTCTGGGAAAAAGCTTCTTGCTATCCACCCTGTCTATACCTCTCATGATTTTGTAGACCTCAATCAGGTCCCGCCTCAACCTCCGTCTTTCTAATGTAAATAATCCTAATCTACTCAACCTCTCTTCATAGCTAGCGCCCTCCATACCAGGCAACATCCTGGTGACCCTCCTCTGCACCCTCTCCAAAGCATCCACATCCTTTTGGTAACGTGGCGACCAGAACTGTACGCAGTATTCCAAATGTGGTCGAACCAAAGTCCTATACAACTGTAACATGACCTGCCAACTCTTGTACGAAAGCATGCCGTATGCCTTCTTGACCACTCTATCGACCCGCGTTGGCACCTTCAGGGTACAATGGACCGGAACACCCAGATCTCTCTGTGCATCAATTTTCCCCAGGGCTTTTCCATTTACCGTATAGTTCAGTCTTGAATTGGATCTTCCAAAATGCATCACCTCGCATTTGCCTGGATTGAACTCCATCTGCCATTTCTCCGCCCAACTCTCCAATCTATCTATATTGTGCTGCATTCCCTGACAGTCCCCGTCACTATCTGCTACTCCACCAATCTTAGTGTCATCTGCAAACTTGCTAATCAGACCATCTATACCTTCCTCCAGATCATTTATGTATATCGCAAACAAGGAAGGATGGGCCAGCCTAGGAGTTGGGGGTGGTGGTCTGGAGAAGTTTCGAGGGAAAGGTGCCAGGGATGAAGGGCTTGTCATGTGAGGAGTAGTTGGGGGGTGGTCTCTGGGTCTGTACTTGATGGAGTTTGGAAGGATGAGGAGGAATCTGATTGAAACGCACTGAGGGGCCTGGATAGACTGGAAGTGGGGAAGGTGTTTCCACCTGTCGGAGAGACCAGGACCCGAGGACACAGCCTCAGGGTGAAGGGACAGCCCTTTAGGACTGAGACGAGGAGGGATTTCTCCAGCCAGAGGGCCGTGGAGAGCCAAGTCATTGAGGGTCTTTAATACAGAGATAGATAGGTTCTTAATCAGTGAGGGGAATCACAGGTTACAGGGAGACGACTCGATGGACCGAGTGGCCTAATTCCTATACCTTCTGGTCTTCTACAGTGACCGAAATCTGAATGATGGGGAAGGAAGGAGCCAGACTAACTCCCCTCCTGACTCTCTCCCACCCCCACCCTCAAAGCCTGTCCCACCATCGACAAGGCACAAGGCAGGAGGGTGAGGGGAACACTCCCTACTTGCCCTGGAAGGGGGCAGCTCCGACAACACTCGAGAAGCTCGACACTGTCCAGGTACAAAGCAGCACCCACCCCCCACCCTGACACGCTAACACCCCCCGCCCACCTTCAACACTCCGTCCCTCAACAACCGACATAGATGGGCTCATTAGGAATGCTCGGCTGAGCTCCAACACTCCCTCCCTCC